TATATATATATATATATATATATATATATATATATATATATAAGATATACTTAACAACACAAAAAAAGTAAATTGTAACTTGAAAGAGTGCATATAATAAGCTCTCTTAAAGAATTTATGTATGTTATTCAAGGATTTAGAAAATTATATACGAAATCATCCGGAATCAAGACTCGAGAAGATTCAAGAAATTGGCAAACAACTTGTCGACAGTAATATTATGACTCACTCTATTGAAACGGATGTAGAAGGATTAACGAATCGATGGGAAAACTTAAACAAACAGGTATGCATGTATACATGTGTTATATGTTTGTTACTAATATAAAATATATGGTTTATTCTAAAATATATATTTTATAAGGAGCTTGCATTAGCCTCTTATTGAATTGTAACAATAGTTTTAAGCATACATGTACAAGCATGGATTTTTGAGACTGATTGCTAATAATTGCATGAGACAATATTACGAGTCGCTCAAATGGTTATAAGCAATGCATAATTAGATGTCAGACATAATAAATAATAATAATAAATAAATCATAATTTGATAAACCCTATTTAAATATATTTTTTAAAAACGTATTACATACAGTTGTGCAATATTTATCTTTGCTTGATTGAAAAAAGTTGTAGTAATTAGTCATTGTAATTCTGACAATTTTCTAAAATTATATGTTGTGTATATGTTACAACTTGCTTTGGAAAGTTTAGTTAGAAAGATAGAGTTATGTTTTGAGTAGGCAGGGCAACGGGCCAAGCTGTTGGAAGGATCAGTGAAGCAAGCTCAACAATCGGAAGGGCGCATCCTTGCTCTTCAGCATTCCTTAACGCAAATAGACACTGTACTAACAGCACGTCTTGATTGCGATCTCACTGCTGATGATTTGCCTCATGATTATCAGGTCTGTTGGTGTTACATATATCGCTATTCCTATGATTCCTCTAGCGTAATGAAAAATATAAAAACAAAGACAGTACAAAAAAAATACCTGTTTTTATTGTTTTTTTGTGTATGTATGTAACAGAGAAAAATAGCATGATCGAAAGAATGTGGTTATGAACATTTGCATTTTTTTGCATAGTTTTTACTAACAATTATTTAAGAGAAAAATGTAAAATTATACTATACTGAATATATAATTATACTGAATTATCGTATACTAATGTATACGATATTTCGCGAAATCGGATGTATCTCAAAATACATATAAGATGTTTACATATAATTTGATTACGCAATATTATGGAAACAGAAATTAATGGAAGAGATGGAACAGCAGCGTGCTACACTGGAAGAAATAGCATCGCAAATTAAGTCATATAAAGCCTCCGGTAAACAAGAAGCAGCACTTCGACTGCAGGAACAAATGTCGCTTATTGAACAAAAGTACGCTAAAGTGCAAAGAAAGTTTCAACGTTTCCGATGTCCAACCAATATAGAACCTAGATTATCAAGAGCTTTACGAGAACTCAGGGGAATAGAGGAAGCGACTTGTTTACTGGAACTCTCATCAGAAGATCCCGAAGCCATCGAGGGTCAATTAAAACATTGCTTGGTAGTATTTCTCACTTGTATTCATTTATATTATTCGAGAAATTATTATATAGTATTCATATTACTAAAACGATTTGACCATTATTTTTTACAGCGCTTTTACCAGACTTTGAGTGAGATTAAAAGCGAGATTGAATGTATAATCGTGACTGGGAGGAAACTAGTCGAAGATAAAACTGTTTCCGAGCCTGATAAATTTTCAAAGCGAATTGATATGTTAAAAGAATTATATAATAAAGTATGTAAATTTATTATATATATTGTTAGGAATATATTGTATATATTGAATCTGCACAGTTTAAAAAAATTTAAATATTAAATCATCGTCAATCTATTATATTACAGCTTGGTCTTCATATAACGGAATCGAAATCCATACTAGAATCGGCTCTAGAATTGTCACGTGATATGCATAAAAATATGACATATATTAACATGTCAGTCGAAAGTATAAATAAGGAATTAGATACCCAGAAGAGTATGCCTGATTTACCGGTAAATGCGATATATGTGCGAGTAAGTAAGATTCTAATTTAAATCTGTATTTGAATTATTTTTTATTTCGTGTATAAATGCAAATAGTTGAATACTGATTACATTTTATTATAAATCAAATCATTAGTTTCTTCTTATATCGACGAAATATGCTTCTATTATGACTTTCAGGAGACTTTGACCGAAGTAATCCCGCGATTAAACGTTATAAGAGATAAATTACTTCGATCACAAGATGAATTTTCAAAGTTTTGCGATCTCATGTACCTCGAACAACTTAAGGAAAAAATGTCGGACGTAATCGTAAGATTAGCAAATACAGAGAAGAGATTGCGGCTTTGTAAAGGTTCAGAGGTAAATATTTCTTATATATTTTTTAATACACTTACAATGTACATATTTTTTTTCTTTTGCGTAAAAGGATGAGCCGAATGTGGACGAAATAAATGCCTGGCTCCTACAAGTTGAAGAGAAGTTAAATAAGTTAGACGCAGTTCCGATTGATCAACTTACGGAACATCACTTTGAACAGTGCAAGGTAATTAAATATTTGTGTATATGATATTAAATTATAAATTGAAATACGGTTATTTGTTTTATATAAAATATAACTCTTTTGAAGAAACATTTTTGTAATAGTATTTTAAAATTCTTTTGTGTGTGATATTTCTTGTCATTAGGCTGTGCAAAGTGAAATGATCGAAGCAAAACCCAAAGTCAACCAACTTCAACGTTACGCATTTTATCCCAAAGTAGCTGAAATATGTGAAAAATGGGAGGATATCTCTAACAGAATACAAGTACGTATCTGCTTTTCGTTTTCACATGAAATTGAAGTTCATTTATCTATTATCTGTTTTTGTTTCTAAAGTCAGTTTTATCATTCATTGCTTATTCACTCATGGCTTATTTCTTGCTTTACACTTTAACAATCGGTATATGTAATGCTTGTGCTTGTTAGTACCATTACGTATATCTCTATCAGATAAAACTTCTTTATTAATTTGAAATTTAATATTATCTTAAAAAATGTAAACATACAAACAAACTTATGCACATACATCATTTACTTATTTCGGATATAAATTTTCATCAAATTTTAATCATTCTTATATTAGAAATATCATATTCTTGTCTTTACTTACAGCAAGATTTAAGTATAATTCTCTTTATATATATTTTTTTAATAAATGTTATTATATTTTGTGTTATTAAAAACTTCTTAATTATATATCACGCACACGATATAATATGTACATAGTATGTAGATTTACGTATGCTACTATTTATTACTATTATATATTATTTTACTATTATTTATTTTTCGATTTATACATATATATTTCGATTTTGTCCAAGAGGTGGCTCTATCTCTGTAAATAGTGCAATTACTGACTCGGAATGAGTATACATTCTGGTGAATGGAAAGATTTGTACCTTGTCGATAGATTGTTCTGTCGTATTGTCTCTCCCCTTGTATAAAACCTATTTTTTACACGAAAGAGAAATTATAGACGGCAAACTCTGCAGAGCTAGAAGAAGTCGATTGAGAGGCATAGCGTAAAGATTTTGGCATTGGTGATGGACACACATGAAAGATTCAGCTTCATATGTGCACAGTGAACTGCATTGATCACTTTCATTAGATCACGCTTGATATTGTTACACTATTAACATGCTCTTTCAATTAACCGTCGACTGTCCACGAAGTTTCTGTTACCTATCATATTTTCGCAGGAATGGATCCACAAAATCACAGACAATTTATTAATAAAAACTAAAGCGGGAGATACTAAGGGGAGAGACAATTACGGACGCAACAAATTGCCTAAACAGCTGGAACAAGCTTCAGCACATGTTGTCAAAAAAGAAAAGAAATTAATAGACGAGAACGAAGCGATTTACGGCATAGGATATCTTAATCCTGCGTTTGATGATAATCAATGTGCCGTCATTAGCACGCCCGAGAGCTCGCCAATTGACGTGCCTCACCGAAGCAGAAAGTCTTCGGTCAAGTCGGAAAAAGTCAAAGCTAGAATCGTGGATGTCAATAGAACCGTCAGGCGCAAACTAGACATGAGCTCTGTGCCCGACGTTGTTCAGACCTCTCAACCACAGGTCGTTCAGATCGATGACGACTTGCCGTCGCCAACTTCTGATAATATGTTAGATGTTCATGTGACCGATGAGGACGAATTCTTTCTCTCTAAGAACAGTAAATTATTCTCTCAAGTGTCCAGTAATACTTTGACAGCGACAGAGATCGAGACGTTTAACGCATCTTGCGCGCAGCAGAACCCATTTCGCGTTGTAGAAGTGAAAGAAATGGAAATTGTAAAATCGATAGCGTCTCCTGAGGATCATGTAATTTTGCCGAGTGCTAATGTTAGTGTCGGATTAGTACCGCAAGTAGTTGAAAGGGTGGAAATCGTCGAAGACACTGAGACAGAACCCGAATCTATCGATACCGATACGGAAGAAAAGGAAAGTAGAGGAAAAATGCCCACTACTGTCGGTCTCACAGAGCAGATGGTCAATAAGAAGAAGGAATTGGTTCCAATTTTAAAGAAGAAAATCGCGGCAGAATCAACTCCCGCGAGAAATGTCAAAAGACTTATATTGAAATTAGATATAGACGCTGATCAGGAGGATATTACCGATTCGAGTAAAATTACGACATTTCCCAGTGGTGTACCATTGAGAAAAACAGAAGTTAATATTATTGTGGATCAACAAACAGATGCGTTAAATAAGATGCCAAGAAATACAACTTCTATGTGGAAAGATACTGAGAGCGTTGCAGAATATCTTATATTAGATGATAAAGAAGAAATTGAGAAATCTGATGTAAACATTGGCAATCAAGCAAGTTGCACTAAAACACAAGACTCTATAATGCAATTAAAATATAAAGACACCCAACAAGAAGTCACATATGAGAAAAATATCGAATATCTCAAAACACACGAAAACGTTGGTAATACGAGTCGTAGTGAAGACGAGAAACTCTGCAAGAAAACACCGCTAGTGAAACGTATGAGGAGTTTGTCGAAAGACGACACTTTGGAAGACTGTGAGAGCTTTTACGGTAGTGATAAAGAAACGGACGATGTCCTAATATTTTCGGACGATACAGAAATTGACGTTGGTAGTTCCAGTTCAGACGGAGAAGACACTAATTTAGGAGAGCATGTTGAGCACCTCTTGGACAAGGTAACATACGTGCCACGTATACATGCCACTGGTGTCCATCAACTCACGTTACTTGTTTCGAGTTTTTACGTAGGTTTGAACACAAACTTCTAAGACATTTGATCTTGCAAAAAATCATTTTCTTTTTACAGATAAAAGTTGAGAAGACTCGGCCATTTATGCAACACAGGGAGATGAAAGCGCTGTTTAAAGGCCCACTAGGTACATCTCGAACAGCGTTAGAGAAAAGTATTTTTGAATTTGAGCAGATGGCACAAATGATGCTATGCAGAATGGACGTTATGTTAATGAGTATCAGTGGCATCTCTAATGAAAAAGATCCTACCAAGCGTCTTGAGGTACAATATATAATCTTTTTCTCTTTCATGTTCTCTTTAAGATTAGGAGAAAATCGAAATGTTTATCTAAATTTCTCTGTGATTTATATGTTTCCTATTTTACAGATACTCAAAAGTGAAGTTAGCATTCTCGCTCCAGACGCAGCGGCATTAATTAGTAAAGGAGACGGTTTAGTCATGACGATACACATGACCGACCCTGCACGGGCTGAAAAAATCAAGAACGAGCATCAAGACAAATTGAGAAGCAAGTGGCATCAAGTTATGAGTGAGATCGAAACGCGCAGGAAACAGGCGCAAAAGGCAGAAGAAATTTTGCGGCAATATAACAACATAGTCGCAGAATTTGAAGATTGGTTTAGGGATGTGCCGTTGAAACTTGAACAAGCTAACAACTACGAAGGACAATTGGAGTCGTTTACCGAGGAATTCGACATGAAACAAGTGCAGATACACAAACTGAACGAGTTAGCTGTCGAGTTGAGGAAACTAAATATTGGTTACTCGGAATCTGTACGCTATAACATTAATAGCAACTGGCAGAAAGTTAGTTCGCAGTTTAAGAGATTCAGCGGTAGCAAAGATAAAGACAAGCACGTAACTGACAAAAAAGTAGAATTGGTACGTTTAATAAATATTCGTAATCTATATTGAAATATCTTGCTGTGAATCAATTATTATTTATCAAAGATTTAAATCGATTGAGAAATATATATGAAATTATATTTATGAGCATTTTTCTTTCAGGATGTTGGTGGCGTTAATCCACAAGAATTTATAGCGCGGATCAGCAAATTGAGAGAAGCAACGTCGACTGTGTCGCGATCCTTGAATTCCTTACCATTGAGTGGTAAAGACTACGAGTTATTCACAAACCAAGAGGAATGTTTGAAGAAAATCAGCAATGCCTTAAATATTTTGAAGCCAAGTGTCGACGAAGTAAATTACGTCTGCGAAAGTGTCGTGCGACAAGCGAAACGAGAGCAAGCCGATCAGATAAACTATTTAAGCGAGAAATTGCAAGATGAGTGGACGAACGTTAATCAAAACTACATAGAGAGACATAATCGTTGGATCAAATGCTATGAGAAGTGGAGAGAACTCCATAACACATGTCGAACTTTTTCGGAATGGTTAGATAAGATGGAAGACGCACTGAAGAAGTGCAATGTTTTTAGTCATTCTAAGGCGAGTAAAACGAAGACTTTCGAGTTGGAACAAGAAGTTTCTAGAATGCAGAAAACATTGAATAATATGAACGCAGCGAGTGCAGATATATCTAGCCGTGCTTCCACCGAGGACATAATGGAATTACAGAGTATGGTCGAAAACATCAAACATCGTTGGCAGAATTTGGTGATTGAATTAAACGCGCGAAAAGAAAGGTAAAATACATGATCTTTGTAACGTTTTAGGAAAAATTACATTTTTTCCAAAAACATTTATACGTATATTACACTCTCAAACAATTTAAATAAATATACATAATTTCACAAGCACAAGCGATACTCATTGCTTATGATTCAAAATTATGAATTATGAAGTTATGACTTGCTAATGCAGACAAGCATGTAGCATTGCGAGGAAAGCTCGGCCCAGCATTGAGCTATTTCAGTTGTGATTTGCCTGTGCTGCTGTAGTGAAGTCAGTCAACTCAGAATAACCTCAGAATAAACGAACACAGTTCCTCTTGTAAATTTTGTTTCTCTATGAAAGAATAATTCATAATTTTGATTGTATAGTTATATTTTTACAAATAGATGTTGAAGCATAATTTTTTTACGTGTGGTGTATCTCGAATATATCTATATTAACATATTATTTAAGGAACTTTGCTATGGAGAGAAAAGTAAGCAACGACAGCCGCGTTTTGGAAACTGCGTACAATATCGTGGAACAAGTGAACACTCTGTTAGTGTCTGCGGCAAATCCATCGGATGAAACCTCCTTGTCAATTAGGTTATCGTTAATTAAGGTAAGTTTACACATCTTCACACGATTCCCCTTCTTGGCTTGCTAGAATTTGCGCACATACCGTCATTGTCGGTAGTAAAAGAAAAATTCCATTATGTCGTTATTTTTGTTTCTTAAATATACATACGTTTTGAATTTTTATAAACTGCAAATGTATTATTAAAATAATTCAGTTTTTATTTAGAACACGTACACTGTCCGCGCAAAGTTCACTGTTACACAAAGTCACGTAATATTGTACTTCTACAATAACATCACGTACATGATTAGCACTACGATTTATATTATCGAAAAACACTCAGTAGCACTCTGCTGAGAGATGCGACTTGGATAAGTAACGGAATTATTCTCCCCGTGACTCAGTTTCCATGGGTTGTAGTCCGGTGCAGTATAATCAAATAAACCGAAACTTGTCCTAATAATATCTCTACATTTCATGACCGCACATGCCAAACCGTGCCAGGACATAAATAGCATTGAACTCTCACTTTACACTGCTTCCTATTATACTTTTCGCCTATCGGTATCTTTTATTGTTTCCTACAGACATGATTCTAATTGATATTTAAATTATCTGTAATATAAATTTTCATTCGTTATTATGCTATGCTTTTAACGTGTATAAATCACATTGTTGTTTTTTTTTTAAATGTACATTAAACTATATTTCTTAATGTATTGATTGATACTGATATTATTTATAGGCGAGAGAAGAAGAACTTTTGTCTCGGAAAAAGAATTTGCAAGCTTTAGTGAGTCAACATAACGTTCCTAGGGAAGAAGATGAAAGCAACAAGCTTCTTTTGGACATGGACAAGGTATGATTGCTTGTGTGAAAATATTTTGTGCAATGTCTATTGCAATTTTTGAGATTTGATAAGCAATACATTTCAATTCTTTCGTTTAACTTTTTAGGCTAATGTAAATCTTTCAAACCACCGCGAATACGTAGAATGTAAGCTTGTGTCGCTTAGAAAATATATCTGTACGTTGGACACTGTTATGGCGTGGGTTATGGAGACGCGAACGCGACTGAGCATTTCTCAAGAATTGCCGCAACACGAGCGTAACGAAATGATTAAAAATATCATGGTAAGTTGTCATATTCTTCATGCAACCGATCACGTAAATGAGGCGGAAAATTGCATTTCTACTTACATTTTTCAGTCTAAAGTTGAAGATCGCGAGATGGAAGTGAAAGACGTATTGGAAAATTATACTAATTTAGAGAAAGAGTGTGAATCAGCTAAACAACCGGTTTCTGTTGAACTGCAGGTAACGTAAAAATGTGCCAATTATATAAAGTTCTTAATTAAATTTCATCAATCAAGTGTGCCATAATTTATCATATTTAATTTAATATTACCTGTACAACAGGAGAAGCTAAAGAAACTGAGGGAGGACTGGCAGTTGGTGAAATACTATGGCGAAAATCAGGAAATTTCATCCGTGTCGTCCGTCGGGGCTACATCGCTTTTAAAAGGTATGAATAATTGCACGGATTTACATCAGATAAGAATTATGACACGTCGACGTGCTACTTTTTCGTCGAACTCGAGGAAAAAATGCTAAAGTGATCGCAGAAATATCACGTCGAGCGTTTAATAGGAATGGAATCAATTTCTCCAAGCCTCTCGGTTGGTAAATACGTGTCCTCACGACGTAGGATCTTCGAAGAAAACCGGACAATAAATAGTACATTTAGTCGGTCCGGTAAGCGCGGCCACATTTCACTTCCACCCCATCCTGCAGGACGATATATATCCGCCGCGTTAAGTGCAGCCTTTTCAGCGACCAGCTCAGTTCTTTCTCTTTCGCCATAGTCGTTCGATTGGTTAGTGCATTGCTTTTACTATCACGCGTATTTCAAAAATCATCGCGTCGATGTCCAACCGACTCTAATAACTGCCAATAACATCTCTTTTATTAGAACGTAGCACAATTTCATACTGCAATTCTAACGTGATGTTTAACACATCAATAAAATGCAAATTAGTTTGCGCCATATTTTCGGCTATATCAAAATTGATGTTATTGTAAAATGTGTTTAGTACTTGTTTGCAAAATATTATTATATATATCTACGTACTTAGACTTACGAGCAGCCTTTGATTCCATTCCTATTTTACTCGGCATTTCCGATATTGAAAGCATCGACACGTTGCTTGCCGCGTAATGATTACTAGTAATCAGTGTATTACAAACGCGATTTACTCGATTGAACCGAGATAATTCGTCAAAAATTGTTTGTAATTTCCGTGTGTTGTGTGTATGTCTTGTCAAACGTGTAATTTCCTTCGCTGTTTTGTCGAAGTTAATCAAAATTTGCATGATATTGAGTGTGTATCAACTTTTTGCGGTCTCTATCGTTCTCGACTTTGTTTTCCACCTAACCGTCGAAATTCATTTAATTTAATTACTACAACAGCATATTTATAGTCATATCTTTATATCGAATATATTATTGATTAAAATATCAGTCTATAGAACTATAGAGTGGAACGAACGTCGTGATAAGAGCGCAAAGGGTTATTAAAATACAAGCTATATCGTTCGATTTTGATATCATCGCAGCGATTGGAAACCTCGAAAGAAAAGAACAGACGTCTCATGAGCCTTCGGGGCGAGCAGCTTAGGGAGCAAGATCGGGGCTTGCTCGCGGACGAGGTGGTGCGATCGTCGGTCCACATAATGAGCGGATAAGCCGGCTAATGTAGTCGCGGTAGAGCATTGCCAGACGGAAGATAGCTCAAGCCTCGCCGTCGCCCATTTCTCTTGTTCCCTCCGCTCACACCCCATTCCCCGCGAATTCTCTCTCTCTCTCTCTCTTATCCTCTTTTACCTCCGGCAACGTTAACGTACCGAGATAGAATCGGAGTTTGTCCGACACAAGTTTGTACCGTGCTCCGTAACCACGTAGTGACGCACGTGCGCCTTACACACGTGTATATGTGCGCGTATGTGTATATGTGTGCGTATGTGTATATGCGCCTCACGAACACGTACGTTCTAACACCGTGATTATCCCTTAATTGACGCGGCCACTCCGAGGTATAATCCGTCCACTCTGATTCCGGACTGCCACCGGTATAAAAAATTACTTTACCCAGCCCGGGCGGATCCCGGTGTAAGTGAAAATCAGCGCAGCGTTTCGCGTGAGTCAGTCAAATATTAAAAAAAAAAAAAAAGAAAAAAGAGAGAATGGAAAAAAATGTCGGAGTACGGAGCAGACGGACGAGATGCGGGCGAGATACAAGAGAATATTAACTTTTTCGTGTTCGTACCTCGAGATAACAAAGAGGATCAACGGCGATTTTTTTTAATCAATTTTCGATTATGGAAATTTTAATTCGTGTGAAAACACACATATGTACATATCTAGAACTAGAAATTTTCCAATATCAGATCATACGAAACTCTTTTTGTTTCTTTTTTATATTTTTGAGATTTACAGAGTTGGGTGTAAGACCATTGCTACCTCGGGCGATCACAGAGTTGCGATCTAAGGGACATCGCGCATAATTAATAGTTAATTATGGGTGCTTTGGCGCTTGCTTATTCGTACTCCGAGTAATCAGAACTGCCTCCAATCGTGAAGTAATTAACAAGGGAGTTTGCCGGTAATTGGTTCGCAGCAGAACGGAATAGGGCGAGCTTGATAAATGAGCGCGCTGTAGATTTTTAAGTGATTCTTCTACACCGAAGTAAATTATGTTTATATATGAGAAACGATTCTATTTTTTTTTTCAATTTAATCACGGTATTCCCGCGTCATATTTTTTCCATATAAAGCTATAATATTTTTATTATAAAGCATGCGCGTATTTGAACAGTAACTTATATGCTACATGTGTATCATTAATATGCAGACATCATTATATGCGTAACTAGGATTCCAATAGATTTGCAATCATTGATTCATAAAGTGGTGAATTAATCCGATATCGATAACTTGATCAGTAATTCGCCAACGGAATTTAAATGCCATATGAAATATCGTAGTGAGAGCTTAGCGCGCGGTTTTTATATTTCGTAAAATCGATTACGCCGAGAAGAGGTCAGGCTAGAACTTTATAAAAGTTTCGAAAAGCGCGACTACGAACACTTTTGCCGCAATGTCTATACACGCTGAAGTTTTGCTGAAGATTATTTCCGAACTCGTTTAGGCGCCCAAAAAACCCCCCCCGAAGATGGTGGTTGTATTAATATATTCACGTCACGTTATCTCGTGATGAGCGCGCATGAGAATTCGCGGCTGTAAAATCCCGGAAGCTCGAGTTTGTCGAACGGGGCCGTTGAGGGTGGCCTGCCCCATTCTCGCAAATAATCGATCAGTGAGAAAATCTAGGTGGGTAGCTTTTTTTATGGCTCCCCGAGGAGCTCAGGGAGTGGATGGGCCGTCAGTTCGCGCTACCCTTCCCATATCTTTGCGGAGTCACCCTTATGGATCCATTCTTCGTTGGCATTACCGCAAACGCATAACATCCGCCAACTGAATCCGTGCATTTTGCCCGATGCTTCGAACTGCTCGGGAGTAATAGAATTCAGTACATTGACCAGTTTCATTCGTAGATAGAAGGAGAAAGAGATAGAGGGAAAAAAGAGAGAAAGAGAACAAAAGAAAAAGAGAGAAATATGTGTCTACACACACACACACACACACACACACACACACACACACACACACACACACACACACACACACACACACACATATATATATATAGTTATATACAACTTTTGCTTGACTCTGGATATACAGAAATATCTGGATAAATGTGTTACTGAACAAAGAGGATTATTTATTGCTCATACAATAATTTATTGAGGATTTTTCTTTTGAGAAATTTCGAAACATTATATGCACTTTGTCAAATTGCCTTTTGCCATACTCATGATTAATAATATATGATATATAATATGATGATAACTCTCTCTTATCATCTTTTGAAGTGGATACAGAATATCCGTAGTAAGTTGAGTTTCCTGTCATAATTGAAGAGATTGAAAAGTGTAGAGAGGGTCAAAGATAATATCGTCGAATCAAAATTTCGCGATTCCTCCGCTCGTCGATCGATTGTTACGTGTACTTTTCATTGAGAATGAAATTCGGGTGATGCGTGAGTGTTTCTTTCACAATCGGCAGTAACATTACGCCACTAACTGGCAGATTACTGACGCACGATCGCAAAACGCAACGCGATACAGGGACACGACGTACGTATTTCATTCGCGCGCAGATCGTTCGCGGCGAAGTAAAGCGGATTAGGGTCGTGAGTCCATAGCTTTTGCGGGGAACGGACACGCTATTTCGTCGTTTTCAGCGGAAGCGGATTAGCCGTATTCATATTAACGCGATTAGTTCATTGTGAACCGTAATGACAACGACGGAGAATTACATTGAAAAAAAGCCGTTTCAAACAGCGATATTTCGCGACGGACTTGCATAAAATAAATATACACACTTTTCATCAATGAATGCGTATACGTCTCATTAAAAACTTCGAGATTCCTGTATTAACTTTCACCCCTTATTTTACTGGGCATTTTTAACGACTGTGTATCTCGCATGTAATTCTTTATAGTAGCAGTTGGGTTTTTAATGAATGCCTGTATGTGCTTGCAGTATCTCTTCTATTTTTATAACTCTTCCCTTTTCTCTTTCTCATTCCTCTAATTTGTTCCTATTTATTTCGGCCCCACACCTGTCCACATGCGTGTGTATTTGTAAAACGATATAATCCATGTTCATAACATAAACTCGGAATATCTACAACAAGTAGAGAATCGTTCTTTCTCTCTCTCTCTCTCTCTCTCTCTCTCTCTCTCTCTCTCTCTCTTTCTTTCATATATATACTCACTTATAATAGATGCGTCAGATTATTCGTTGCTTTTGCATGTAAGCCGTTATTATGAAGAATAAACTCTATTTCTACGCGATACTATTTCTGCGCATCTCCAACGAGTCGCTATTTTTTCCGCCACGAAATCGATACGCGTCGCGGAGCCGCGCGTCACATCGCGGGCGTGTTAAATGAATAAAAATTTTCGAGTGTAACCCGGATCCGCAGGACAATGAGTAATGTCGCGTAGGTTGTTCCGTTGCGCTGACGCCGGGATTGCGCTGTATGACGCCGTGCTAATTGCACGACGATGTTGTATGGGAGAGGCGGCAGCTTTTTATGCCGCGACTGCTGATGACATCCCCGCTGCGCGCAGCTGACCCTCTATTATTTCTCACCGTCGGCTTCCTCCTATCGGATGAAATCCTCCCTCCTTCTCTCTCTTTCTCGCCGAAGATTGCGCGCGTTCAGCACGTTATGAATTCTTGAATATGAGGGGCTTACACCACATCTTGATATTCCCACTTAGATGGGAATATTAATTCCATTTATTTAGCGCATTTATTAATAGCGGCCAGTTCACAATTTACGACATTTTGTGGGTATCCGACGATTTAGCCCTACAACGTTAACACCATTT